AATATGAAGTAACTCTCTCACTCTCTCTCTTTCTCATTGAATATAATACCATTTGATATTCTATGATGCTAATTCTATCTTGCTAATACAAAACAGCTCATTTTGCTTTTCATTTGTGGGACTTCCTCTTTAAAAACCTATGTTAAAGGATGCAACAGGGAAACGGTTAATCTCCAAAACATCTCAACTGACAAGCTAACAAACCAAAACACCAGATCTTTCATTAATCACCGTATAGGGGCACAGCAAAAAAAGTCCTGTAACCTACACCATAATCTTTTGATAAAATTCACTCTATATGTTTTTTTATTCAATGTATAATAATATTAATAATAATAATAACAAAGTATTTAACCAGGAAAGGTACATTCAAAATACTCAGGTTTTCACGTACGTCCTGGGGATGTTACCTTAGCCCAACATCCAGGGGTTGTTACTGGTGCTTATAGCAAATTGTGTCGCAAACCACTTCCTCTCTGTATGTTTATGAAACTTCAGTTGTATTGTCCTTAGACCTACTAAACAGTAGATATATTGTATAACTTTATTAATTATAGATTATGTGACCTTCCTTCTGTTTGTCATTTGATACTAGAACGCTCACTTGGAAATGATAGTCTTTGAAAAGCCTGAAATATTTTGAAATGGGTCTCCCTGGCTTGCTCTGTTAATGATAAGATCATTACTTCATGAAAAAGTGACGAGATAATTTCTCAGGGTTGTATCACATATAAGGCAAATCAAGAATGATCACACTTCATATGAGGAAATTTAAATCACTTTGAGAAATGTTTCTGTGAATTATGTAATGTTATTAAAAACAAATATACCATTTCTTCATGCTGCCCTTTTCTTAAAAACAAAAAAAACGTAAAGCAACTTGGGATAACCAAATGTAAAAAAGGAACGCAGTCATAGTTTATCATTAGTCTGGAACTCAAATGGTTAAACTATCCAACAAATATTTTTTTTTAAAGGTCCCAAATCAAGCACAAACCTTAATTTGCAATGCATTACATATGTAGTTTTTCTTAATTCAAGTTTTTTACAAGGATTTTGTAATCATGCATTTTTACACAGTTGTCATCAGTAAATTATCTTTACTGGGCACAAAAATATTGCTGACGGACAGATGCCAAGAGCGTAGGCAGACATAAAGACCAACCACCCAAACCTCATTCTTAAGAAAGAGGAAAGATGACAGCGAAAGAAAGAAAAAATGAATGAGTGGAGAAATGCAAATAGCATAATGACCTGAGAGATTAATATATGCAGAAAAAATGATGGCATTTGATAAGGAAGAAAAGTTGAAGACAGGAGGGTTCGAAGCAAATGCCGATAGGTTGGAGAGGTGAAAGCATGGGTGAGAAAATATCAATAGTTAAAGGGACACTATAGTCACCAGAACAACTACAGCTTATTGTATTTGTTCTGGTGAGTAGAATCATTACCTTCAGGGCTTTTGCAGTAAACACTGTCTTTCCAGAGCAAATTCAGTGTTCACATTACAACCTAGTGATAACTTCACTGGCCACTCCTTAGATGGCTGCTAGAGGTGCTTCCTGGGGCAGTGCTGCACAGTGTGACTTACATTCAGTGTCTCCACTCTCTGCATGGAGACACTGAACTTTCCTCAAAGAGATGTATTGATTCAATGCATTTCTATGAGGAGATGCTGATTGGCCAGGGCTCTGTTTAGCTTGTGCTGGCTCTGGCCCTGATCTGTCTCCTTGACAAGCTCAGCCAATCCAATGCTTTCCTATGGGGAATCATTGTGATTGGCTAAGTTCACCACTTCTGATGATGCCAGCCAAGCAGGCAGATCAGGGGCAGAACCAGCAGCAGCAGGCTGAAATAAAGGTTTTATTTTGCTATATTTAGAGTGGAAAGGAGGGCAGGAGGGCTAGATGGTGGTTTTAACACTATAGGGTCAGTAATACATGTTTGTGTTCCTGACCCTATAGTGTTCCTTTAAACCAATTTTGCAATTAAAGAATGGAACAGTAAAGGTGAATGGTTAAATCCTGCTTTAGTTATTCTGGAATGGGATGGTACATATGGATGGATTAAATATGTGTAAGAGGGTGCAGCAATACAGAGAAATTAATGCTATAACTCTGCTCTGGAGAACCACGAACATTAAGCAATCAAGTTATGTCAGAGGTGAAGCCTGGTTAGGTGATTGCATGGGAGAAAGGTTGAGGAGACAATGAGAACTTTGAGAAATGTGTTGGCTTATGGCGTATAAACTCATAGTACAGAAGACTGGAAGAGGTGGGCTACATAAATGCCTAGAAAAGCATGGCAAGGCTTTGGTTCAATACAGTAGTTGTGGAGTTTATAAATGAAATAAAGAGTCATGTAATATTCCGAATTCAATGGAAGATTTGGTGTCATAATGTGATATACAGAACGTACGAGGGGGCGTTTAATGTACATTTTGACTGAAGCCCCTGGTCGTTTTGCCCCCCCCCTTTTTTTCTAACAGAACATACCATAGTAGATTTATCACCTGTAGGGACTATGACATTATTTAGCGTTTTGTATATTATTTTTGAGTGCAACTCATGCTTGGCATGTTATCTGTTTTTGCATTTTCATTTTTTTAAAACATTTTTTATAGCTTTAAAATGTCATTATATGAGTAACAAAACAAAGTATGAAAACAAATCTGCCGCTCTATTTGACGCTTATAAATGAATAGGTGCTATGAAATAATGTATGTTTCTCAATGATAGGAATTAAATAAATAAAATAAATCTTTTTTGCTCTTTATATGTACATCTTAGGTAATAAACAAGCTGCCTTGTTGTGTCCTTTTATATCGGGGGGTGGAGAGGGAGGGACCTAGGGGGACGACAACATTATCATTTAAATGATGAGGGTGTTTTCATTGCTTTAAGAGGTTCACAAACCTCATTTTTAAAGGATCAGATTTTTTTTGCCTCACTGCCTTTTCTTCTGTTTTATTTACAGCATTTCTTTCAAGATGCTAGTGCCAATATGTGGTGCTGCGTGTGCAGCGGTAATAAATGGACTTTAATCAAAGTTATGATGTGATTTTCTTCAGCCATGGAAAGAAAAATAGACTCTTTGAAAGAGTAATGTTATTGACCTGATTACATTGTATTACGGAAAAGTAATACTTGATTGTAGATGACACTTCTTTTAGAATTCTGTCACAGGTTGTTTAAGCCTGATTTTGGATCAAAACATCGTAAGTAAAAAAAATCTCACACGAATCTTAAAGTAATCAATTCCTATGAAAGGATTTGCAACACATAACGTTGATACATGTACCATGCTTATTGCTCCTCTGAAACGCTACGAGCAAATAGATGGACGACCAGATGTTGATATCACTACAGCCCTGCTGTCAATTGTATGGCGATCTTTAAACAATATATTCAACATCAGCCACCAGAATGTTAATAATATTTTCAAAAAGAAATCTAGCATGAAAGTAAGGCACTTAAAGGGACACTGTTAGCACCATAACCACTACAGTCCCTTGTAGTGGTTATGGTGCCAGCATGTCACAGGCACCATTTTTTGAACAGTTTGTTACAAACCAGGTGAGTTTCTTAGCAACTCTTTGTTTGTGTCACACCATTAAAAAAAACTATTTAACACACAGTTGGTGATTAGATCCACTGCCATGCTGGCACCATAACCACTATAAAGGGCTGCAGTTGTTATGGTGCTTCAAGTGCCCCTTTAGGGGATATGGGGTGAGTAGAGTAGAGTTCTTATCCAGGACCTTGTTCCTTAGGGGCCCAGTATGAAGCTCCCATACACCAATTCTCTGGCTTTGTCATTTAATCTTTACTCGCCAGCAGACGACGGATTGTTGTTCTGACTCAGAGTAGGACATAAATTAAGAGCCTTCTCCGGACTTCTAGTGGTCACCCTGCTAACCTTATTCCAGTTCTAGATTGATTTCTGTTTAATTCTCCTTATAATGCGTCCCTGCTAACGACACATCATAGAGCCCATCCACAAAGGGCAATCACTCAAAAGTTTTTGATAACATTACTAGGCTCACAGTATAATGTGTGCGGTCTGATCGACCTGTTACTTAACCCATGATAGTCACTACACTATCGATTGCTGTCACATGTGCTCTGTGTAACCTTGCTATGTGTTGTGACCCGCACACAACCATTATCACTAACATCTGGACTTTTTTGTGCAATTTGCAGACGTATTATGTTCTTGTATTGCATTGTATTCTTTTTCTTCTGTAATTTTTTCATATGAAAATTGAACATAAATAAAGAATGTTCACATTTGTTTTTTTTTTTAATCTTATCTAATTGTAAGTAATATTGTTGGCACCAGCAAAATTCCGATCTCATTTAATATAAATCTTTTTTTGGGTCAGTTACCAAAAGTTAAGAATAGTCCTGTCTATAACTATATATACACTTGTTACTGATCCACTTGCTGTTCAGTCTGCCAAACGCACTGTTATACATACTCTAACACCTTGTCATGTTGGTCACATGACCTTTGTCAGACTCTGCTGCTCAAAGTATTAAATTCAATGGATTCTCCCACCTATTTGGGAGAAGACTTACCGTATAATGTTTACATAGATGTAAATAATAATTATAAAAAAATTATATACAGCAACAACAATGACTGTCACAAATGTATCTAGTAATATTTAGTGTGTTACTGCCGATGATTATTACTCACAGGATTTCACACTATTTCTAACTGATAGATAAAAGATGATGAATATTGGCCACCACTGCGTAAAATAATGGTACCTCAAGCTACAAAATGTGCTAGGAAGCTCAATACTGGCAGTAAACCACAGCTACACCCTAAAACTCCGCAAATAGAATACAAGACGTCGGTGTTAATAATATTCGCCTTTTTTGCAATTAGTGGTATATAACATTCCAACCACTCCCATGATGTGAGACAGTTACTTTGTTGCTAAAGTGGCAATGTAAGGCTTTCATTGTGTGTATTATGGCCAGTTTACTGTAAAATACAGTTATTCACTAACATGAGAATTCAAAACGAATTTCAAATTTAAAGTCAAAATAGCTGAACCATAAAAATGTTTCCCATTTGACTTTGGCTTTAGAGTTGAAATTCACTTTGAATTTGCACTGTAGTAAATAATTAACCAGTCTAATTGAAATAGATAGCACATACAAATGATAAAAGCCAGCTGAGAATTAGAGGCATATTATACAGACACGTTATACAACTGTACCGGGACGTGTAGGTTCTGATGTCCCCAAATATAGAACAGCAGAAATCTAAATGTGTACAGGGGCCTAAAAGCAGGATTGTACAACCTAATCTAGGGTGGTTGGAGGGTATGACAAGGGACATGCCAGTGATGCAAACAGCATCATTAGGGCCTAGTGATTTCCCGAACTGTTCGCCGAACGGTTCGCCACGAACGGTTCGCAACGGACTCATCATTGAGTAAACTTTGACCCTGTACCTCACAGTCAGCAGACACATTCCAGTCAATCAGCAGCAGACCCTCCCTCCCAGACCCTCCCACCTCCTGGACAGCATCCATTGTGAAGTTGCATTCTTATTAAGCTGTCCAGGAGGTGGGAGGGTCTGGGAGGGAGGGTCTGCTGCTGATTGGCTGGAATGTGTCTGCTGACTGTGAGGTACAGGGTCAAAGTTTACTCAATGATGAGTCCGTGGCGAACCGTTTGCGGCGAACCGTTCGCGAACAGTTCAGGACATCACTATTAGGGCCATATCAGTATGCATTAATTGGAGGTAACATGTTATCTTAGCAATTATGCATACTTAGCAGGAGGGGGACACATGTTGCCAGCAAGCCAACCATCATGCATGCATTCACAGAGTGCCGCAGAGTCACTAACACAATATGCATGTGTTCTATCCAATATTGTGCTCACAATGCAGGTTTATAACATGTTATGTGATATCCACCAGGAACCGGGAGTCCATAGGTTTATCCCCCTATGTTGGGACCAAAGTATCAAATCAGGGCTGCTGTTCTGGGTCCAGGACACTATGCAATTTTGACAAAACAAAATAACTTAAAGCAGTTTTTGATGAAAAAAAACAAACAGTGCCCCTAACAAAATGCAGGCTTTACCGTAAAATTATAATAGATATAAAGACGATATGCACATGTGGTCAAAGTGTTCATGATGTGTGTATAATTGTTCACAAGCCTCTATAACTTGCTAGTGACTTAAACATTGAATAGTATGAATAATGTAACAACTACACAGCTGTCAAGACAGTAAATAACTGAAGTTGATGTGGAAGAACAGATATGTGGAATCTTTTTTACAGAAATTCCCATTAACTTAAAACAGGATATTGAAACATAAGTTGCGTAACTAATCCTAACAAATAAGGAAGTGTCACAGAAATGATAGGAGTGCACCTTTCACTAAACCACGCAGCATGAAAACCGTTTTAGGTTGTCCAGAGCCAGTTTGTAAACTAAAGATAAAAATAGCAGAATTGTTGTTAATGAGGTTTTTTTTTTTAATATATGATGAGGAAGCAGAAGTACATAAAGTAAGCAATCAAACACAACGTGTTGGGAATTAAAAGACAACTATAGGCACCCAGACCACTTCAGCTTAATGAAGGGGTCTGGGTGCCAGGTCCAGCTAGGGTTAACCCTTTCATCTATAAACATAGCAGTTTCAGAGAAACTGCTATGTTTATTTTAGGGTTAATCCAGCCTCCAGTGGCTGTCTCATTGACAGCTGCTAGAGGGCTTCCGCACTTCTCACTGATTTTCACAGTGAGAAGACGCCAGCGTCCATAGGAAAGCATTGAGAATGCTTTCCTATGGACTGGCTGAATGCGCGCGCGGCTCCTGCCGTGCATGCGCATTCAGCCGAAGAGGTGGAGAGGAGGAGGAGAGCTCCCCGCCCCGGCGCTGGAGAAAGAGGTAAGTTTAACCCCTTCCTCTCCATCCAGCCCGGCGGGAGGGGGACACTGAGGGTGGGGGCACCCTCAGGGCACTATAGTGCCAGGAAAATGAGTATGTTTTCGTGGCACTATAGTGGTCCTTTAACAATATAACTCTGAAGAGTTAAAGGAGTATCTGAGGTTCAGGGATGGATTTCTCTTCAGCAATGGATTTACTCAAGAAGTGAGCAGTGATAGACTGACACTCTCAACCTATCACCGCCCACACATAGTGAGTAATGCTTCAAAACTGTTACAGTTTTGGAGCATTACTCAGTATAGACTGTCAGTGACGGTCTACTATTAGCATTTATAATGCTCCAACAAATTCCGCAGCGCTGTACAACAGGTGGACTAACAAATATGTAGTTGCAACAAGACATGTTGGATGTACATGAACAGAAGGTGTTAAGGCCCTGCTCAAACGAGCCTCCGTTTTAGGGGAAGGGGTAAAATGGTACAAGAAATTTAAAGGTAAGATTAATTTTATGTAATGGAAAGTAGGTTTCTAGAAGAGTTTACAATGAAGGCTTAGTTTATTAGATGATGCAGCTGCGGGAGGGAAGATCGGTTATTGAGGTTGGGAGGTCATCAATACTGCTTGAGCAAACACTCCCACATTTCCTGAATTGGGGGATTCTACTTCATTGTTAAACCATTCAAAAACAATTTAACATTTAAAGGCATAAATAAAATAAATAAAGGCAAGAGGGAGAATTCTGTGGGCCATAACCAGTTCATTGAGATGTAGTGGACATGATGTCTGGAGTATCCATTAAAGCTTGGCTAGGCATCATGGGAAATGTAGTTTAGACACATCTGGGACCCCTAAGGTTAATCTTTACTACTACAGGGGCACCTGTGTATAACTAGGGACACGGGCACTATAGCGTTAGGAATACAGGTTTGCATTCCTAACGCTGTAGTGTTCCTTTAAGTTCATGAAGATAAATAATTTGAGCTGGCCTTGTATGGGAAGAGTTTACTTGTTTATCATCTTTATTTGTATCAATGTCCCATTTCCCTCAGATAATAAATTATTTATGTTGGGGATTGAGGGCATAGTGTTCAATCACAAACACATTATTAATTTACACCCTACAATTCTATGCTTGGAACCAAATAATTCAGACTGTCTCTAACTGTGGGTCCAGAAGCTCCCTAACATCTACATTATGCTCACTGGAAGGGACACGTCCAGCACCCTAAAAATATATGTTCCTTGCATTTAGAATGGGGCAAGGTGGTCCCACATTTCATTCTCACTGCAAATAGTTGCTTATATCTGCTGCAGTTTGCAAAAATGGATACATGCATAAGTCTTCCCTTTGGATAGTCATGTTAGAGGTGGAAGTCGTTTGTTCTTCTTTGACTATAAAAAATATTTTTGTAATGTGCTGTTCAAAGTCCCTACCATTCCTATTCAACTCTAGCTCCAGAACCAGAGCCACATCTTGGGCGAGCACTATTTTAAGTGCCTTTTAGAAAATTCTGAAAATAAACTGACAGCATTTGCAGAATGTGAGGTGATGCAATAAACAGAATAACTTTTGAGCTATATTAAATATCCCGCATTATGCGCATGTATCTACTTAATGTGAATTTATGGGATAAAATTAGACGTCATAGATAATTATCATTGGTTGAACCTCTTCCCGGTCTAGGGGATGGAGTAGGAGTGCGAATACAGAACCTGCAGGATTGTTACAGGAACACTCCAACATTAGAAATACAACACATATTTGCTCTGCCCACCCCCTCTCTATTTCCTTTGCTGCTCCTGGCTGTTAATACCTTCATGTAACTGTATCATCTCTGTCACGAACAAGCCCTACTTTAAGAGTGTGCGTGACGTAGTTATGGTGGGGAAATGGTTAACGTTCACTATTTGTCTGCACAAGACCGGAAATAATGACAAAATCCCCCTTAATACCACCCACACGTAAACATACTAATATAACTATTACTATTTTAATGCTGCCACCACCAAGACAATTTATAAATGGGGTGCCTTGGTCCCCCAGGTACATCAATAATAATAATAATCTACCAAATATTACTTAGCACAATATCTATGTAATTGCAAAATACTAATTAGTCTCTTCAGGTAATGAGATTCTTAACCAGACAAAGGCAGAACTTAATAAATTAATGCTTATTATGAGCCAAAATAGTCACAGTGCATACAAAAATATATGATAAACAAATTATTTACACCAACAACAGATAAAAACAAAAAGTATAAAATAGCAGAAGTCCTAATTACTCACTTAACTCTGCCCAGGGGGTCTCAAAATTAGAACTTGACCCTAAGCAAGTACACCACACCACTCCAAATCATTGGCTACATACCCTGTGCATTATCAAGTCTTGCCCAGGGGAGGAGTTAAGGCGTACCTATAAAAATAATAAGTGACCACCTCCTTTGTTACAGGCCACTGTCAATCCAAATGGAAACATTTGGCTCTATCTTCTCTTATGTACCTGCCACAGAAATAATCATTGCATCTATGAATTTATTATTATTTTCCCATCCCAGAGACACATCGCACGCCCCACCCACAAACCAATAGGACTGACATCACAATTCCTGCCACACGGTTTAAGTTTTGCAACTCATGGTTAGACTTAATTAAAAGATTGGGCTTGTCCCATTCCAAATATAATAAAAATGAGGCTTAATTATTAAGCTGTGGGTAAGTAGTAATGTTTCTCTTGGACATTATACTGGAACACCTGGGTCTTGATGAAACTAATACCCTTACCATATCTAAGGATCAAACTATTAATTGAGAGTTTAAGGCCATATGGTCAAAGTCAGTTAGTTTACATTGAAACTTGACATACAGGCGACTCAAGTGTAAAATGTCTCACCTTGCAGGGCCTTTGATAGATAAAAGGGCAATCCTTTTCACACCTTGCAGAAGCCCATTTTGATCAAAAGAGCAATTTCTCTTTGCCATTTGTCCTCTGCCCAGGGGTCAAATTATTGATGCACTACACAAGTTATATTAAATAGCAATATTCCCTAGTGTAATAACAAATTATGCACCCTTGCCGTGAGAATCTCCATCTCAGTTCTTCAGGCCTTACTTCACAGACCCAGATCCAAGCAATACTGAATTTGGCCATTTTTATTCTCAGAACTTGAAAATCATTGATATTTATCAGCTTGACAGTTCTAGAGCTTGGATCATTCCACATATCTCCTTAACCATCAATAGGTTCAATGTGTTAGTGTCTGGCTCATTTCACTCTCAGAGAGCATAAACCCATAGCAAAGTTAACCCTCTGTTATTAAGTACTTTTTGTTTAAGAAAAATACATTTTGCAAATAGATATGTAGCTTGCAATTCAAGGATACGTAGCATATACATCTTAGAAATAATTCCATGTGTGTCTTTCTTAGTAAGCATGATAAGAAGAGATAAATAGAAAATGGACCCACGCTATGCTTATTGGTATCTGTAAAACATGTGCATTTTTGTAATTTTACTTCTCAAAGAATATGAACTGAATTTCTCAGTGTATCTGTAATGCTCATACACAGTAAGTACAGGCAAGTGGTTAAAACACAACAATGATGCAGCTTGCAATGAAGCTCTATAGTGTGTTACAAGCACTCTGTCCTGTCTACACATGGATGTTTGAACACAGAACTGTACCCTAACTTAAAAATACTTCTGTACACTGTGCATTGCAAAACAAAATTTAATATGTTTGTATATATGGGTTTGGCAGGAAGGAGTCAAAACACAACATGGTAATTTGAAAACGTATTAATCACTATTTACTAAAAAGTGTAAATGGGTGGAGTTGATGCTGTTTTCTGATCTAGTGGTTACACAAGCAAGAGAACAACTGGTTTCTATATTAGTATTGGTCATTTTCTTTCCTTTAAATATGTAATATACTGTTTGAAGCAATTATTATAGCACATAACCTTAGTTTCAGAATATAACTTTTGTATATCATGAGTTATTCTATTTATTTCGTAGTACACTAATATTTCAATTACCATTATTCCAGTCATAATTTACGTTAAGGAAGGGGTGCCCAAAAAGTAGATGTCCAGATGTTTTAAAGCTACAGCTTCCATGATGTTTTGTCATTGTAACGCATTCTAAAGGCATGCAAAGCATCATGAGAGTTGTAGTTCATCAGCTAGGGATACATAATTTCTTTGTATTATGCTGTCTCCCTCTTGGTAGTGCAAGGGTTACATTTATACGGCTGCTTCTACTCTCCAGCATTTATTGAGAGGTTCTCAGTGAAGTCCAAATGATGCGTTGCTATTGCATCTTTAATTAAAAGATTACATTTATCCAACCACACAGTGAGTCGAACGCTTAAAATAGCATGACAAATCTTCTCTTTGTGGAACATTCCTTGCCTACTCATTAATCTCCAAGTATGTATATACTGTGTGTAACACTTTCCAATCCACACTCCTTGATAATAATTATTTCAAAGGACATTATAACCGCTACAGGTGGGAAGAGAGGTTATGTTCAAAGTGTCCATGATCACTGCCTATAGTTATTTTTTTAAACCATTTAGGAGTGGTGTATCACCAATAGCCCACCCCTGCTTCCGCTATCTTAATAATGCAAATTTTAAGCTTCCACATCATGAATAATAATTTGGGTGGCAGTAATCGGTTGAGAGCCCTGTAGATTTTCATAAAATCTGAGACTTTGGGATGGTCTTTCCTGTGACTTTTTGTTAAAGGGTAATCAGGTGTTTTCCAAGGAGAACACAAACTTGATGATGTATTTAATACATAAGAGAGATTAACTATATATCGCTTCGAGTAATCATAGCATGCTGCACTTTTTTTTTTTATTGTTATAGAACAAGAGTAATAGGAAAATACACACAGGCTTATAAACAATCAGGATAATCATGCCTAGTCCTAGGTGGAATTGCATGTCTGTTACTATATAGACTTGCTAGACATGTGGATAGTAAATTAAAATGAAAATTAAAATAAATGAATGCACATGCTGAGTGAAATCATGCTAGGCAAATTATGTTCAGCCATATCACAAGTCAATAAGTAAAGGTGTGAACCAACCCCAGCAGAAGCCTACAAATTCAAGCAGGTTGGTATATACTCTCAGCATATGTTTAGCATATAACTTGCCCCCAATCTAGTGTTACCACACGTAAGCATGCCTGGAGTACTGTGTAGGTCAGTCTCAGGGCATCCATTCACCCGATGCCCTCAATGGGCCAAGCACTGTCCATCAACTGGGAGGGATACTTTGAGCCTTTGAGCACAGACCAAGTTGTCATCAGAAACAGGGCTCCCCGCAGCATTTCCAGCTCCTCAGGAGATCCAACCTTGGCCTGTGTCTGCAACTGCCTCTGTGTCACCTGGCGGTTCTTTAGACCTCACCGCTTGCCTTGTCACCATCCCGGGGCCCTCACCCCCTTCAGTGTTGAGGACTCCTGTTGGTGGCCAGGAGCCAGTTGTCCGTGCTAGTGGTTATTCCTCCTCGCACGACAGTCCTCTTCGCAAACCGTGGTCCAGATGGATAGGACTGGGGTGAGATAACCTCCTCCGCTCTTCCTCACCACCGCTGTTGCGCTTGGTCTTTGCCCAGTGGGTCTCAGTTTGGCTTTGTCTTGTAGTGGGAGCGGTAGGAGCGAGGAGCTGTAGCACCAGTCCTCTCCGTGCTTCGGTGGATCCGGGCAGGTAAGGCAGGAGTGTGGCAGCTGCATGCCACAAGGGACCAGAAATCCTGGCACAGCTTATCAAATCTGGCCTCAAAACACTTCAGTGAACACAACTAGAGGGGACCGGGATAACCCCCACCGGTCCAAGGGGGGGGGGCTGCAGGACTTCAGTAGTTTCACAGCGGGATGTGCAGTCCCAAGCGGAAGATCGGCCCCTCTCCCAGTTGACAGACCAGCAACCCAAGTAGGCCACATGGCAAGATGGCAGGATAATTATGCATAAATGATAATTTCAGGACCTTTGGTGTCCTCTTTAGTCAGGATGTCTGTTGTGCCTAATTTGAGTTAAAGCTGGCTCAGGCAGGAGCTCCTGGAAAGCATGTCTTGGCTGCTTGAGAGTCAGGCCCCGCCCCCTACCCAAAATGTTTTTGACTAAATAAATTCCTGTTCGGCACAAAATAGGTACAGTTTACATCCACCTTTGAGGTTATTACGAGCCATAAACTTTTTCTATTCTTCTACCACCAATGTTTGAAGTAGGAGTGACATCTTAACGGGACACTATAGTCACCAAAACAACTTTAATTATTTTAAGCAAGTTTCACTGCTCAATTCTCTGCCATTCAGGAGTTCAATCACTTTTGTTTTTTGTTTTTGCATCCCTAGCCACACCTCCCCTGGCTGTGATTGACACGGCCTGCATGGAAACAAAATGGTTTCATTATCAATCAGATGTAACTTGCTTTAAAAGTTATCTCCTGCTCTGTAAATTGAAATTTGATTACATGCAGAAGGCTCCTGCAGGGTCTAGCAAGTTATTAACAGGCTTGGAGATAAGAAATTCTAAATTAAAAAGACTGCAATAAAGGAAGTATAAAAATATTACAGGAAGTATTGAGGAACGCTGTGCATGTCACATACAGGGAGGTGTGACCCGGGCACTATAAACAAAGTGATTTAACTCCTAAATGGCAGAGAATTGAGCAGTGAGACTGTAGGGGTATGATCTCTACACCAAAAGTGCTTCATTAAGCTAAAGTTGTTTTGGTGGCTATAGTGTCCCTTTAAGTTTTTGTTCATATGGCAGAGACATTGAGTAAGAAAGCAATGTATTATCTCATAACTATTCTTCACCACAGATATTTGCTACTTTGTAGTAGGTAAGTATGTATGCATAAAATGGGTGTTCCACAGAATCATGTATGCTTCTGTTTATTTATTTTTCTGTATGTGCATGTCTGTGTTTGGGTGTGCATCATAGGCATGCGCACAGGGTGTGCCAGGTGTGCCTGGGCACACCCTAATCCCCACGGCACGTGCTGTGTGCCTCCATGGGACGGTGAGGGAGATCATAGATCTCCCTCACCAGCCGAGAGGCAGGGAAGGAGGCAGGAGATGACCCGGGGAGCTCTTGCCAGCAGCTCCGCAGGGTTCCTCTCGCAAGGTCGGAGCGTTGCCACAGCAGTGCTCTGATCTCGCGAGAGTGAACTCTAGCCCTGCAGGCTAGAGTTCACCGACACTAGGACCACCAGGGATCAGAGATGGCAGCAAGGATCCCCCCTCCTAGGCAAAAGGTAAGAAGGGAGGGGGGCTATTTCCTAATCTGCCCTCCTACCCCCCACACACAATCCCTCCAAACAAATTCACACAGCACGCACACACACCACCCTTACACACACACACACACACACAGCACACTAAAAGCACCCTCACACAGCACTTAAACACACAGCACCCTTACACACACACACACACACACACACACACACACGTATGTATGTATGTATGTGTGTGTGTGTGTGTATGTATGTTTATATATATATATAGATAGAAAGATACACACATACATATACACGCGGCATGTGTGTTTGTGCTTTAGGATGCACACCCTTATGCAATTGGCTGCGCACGCCTATGGTGTGCATCAATGTACTTATGCATGTAATAATGTCTGTGCATACCTTTACGTGTTCAGTAAATTATCCACGCAAGAGCAGACTGGTGGATGAACATGATCCTGCGCGTTTAGGATCATGCATTATTAATCAGAAGGCGTATCTTGATCTTTTAACTTAATAACCTTATGAATGCAACAGCCTTTGAGACCAGGATTTGCTTTGATTTCAATAAAACAGCTTGAAGGCAGAAGCAACTGTTTAAAGAATTGCTGCTTTGTGATTTATTCTCCTACATATAAGACTAGATATCATTACATCCACTTTCACAACTGGAGAGAATTAAAATCAGGAAACGTGTATAAGTAAAGCCACAAACTACCTTGTGTGTGCCATTTCACTGATAAAAAACTCAATCCCAGTGCATTCAGTGCACAAACATTCCACAACGAGAAAACTCAAACGTGTTATAACTTGCTAATATAGGTGCAAAAACAAGTCTTTTTTACATAATGTTCCACTCCGTTTAATGTTACACATATAGAGAACTTGGAGCAAATAACTGTCCTCATAAATTACAAAGAATACTTAGATAGATTAAAACCGTAGCCAGTCACCCACCTATAATTAACAGTAAAGTGTACAAAGCTAATCATCTTTAGCAATGACCACATTTCCATAGATGTTTGTGGAATTTACCACATTTCCTATGATGCCCAGCCAGTGGTAAGGTGTATTAGGCAATGTTGTCACACCCTTGGGAGCAGTAACAATAGATTGAAAATGCATAGCTCAGGAAAGTCAAATTTGAGCTAAAACATAAAATAACCTTTCAACCATACATTTGCTACCAATTTGGTTAGTAGAAAGTACAGATGTACTCGGATGCTAATTAAAGTGACACCAACAGGTTTAATCATTGAAGTACGAATTGTCATAAATGCAAAGTAAATTTAGAGGGAATTCAAATTTTAGACCAAAATAACTGGACTTGTAGAATATCTGGCTTGAAGAATTTTTAAATTTCAGTTGGCCTTAAATTTGAAACTTACCTCAAATTCACTTTGAATACTACACAATTCTAACGTTAGTGAACAACCCTAATAGTCGTTTTAGTCATAATAGGGCACTTTAAGTATCTTAGCATGGACTGATAGCTCCCCAGCAGGAGGGCTGAGTCCCACCTTAAAGGCCACAGCTGTATTACTTCAATATGCCAACATTTACGTTTAGTAAGAATTCATATTAAGCCTCTTGCGTTGCACACTTTTTTTGTACTGATATTTTTGTAAACATCCTACACACATCCCATATGCCTGTACGCCTAAAGAAACCACAACCACAGCATTTTTATCATCTTTTAGAAATCAGCACACATGTGCTTCCTGCATTCCCCTCAGAGAAGCACTTTCCTGTTTTCCATGTCACAAACGGACCATCCTCTACATCTATTTTATTATTTCATCATCTGTTTCTTATTAGCAAAATGTATATACTATATAATTACTTGTGCCTGATTATAATTTCATCAGCAGTTATAGACGCTTTGTCTTTGTACACTATGGCGTTTCTGAACATTTCTGCATCAGATTCACAGTTATTTCCGCTGACAGGAAGCGTCAAAGGTTTATAGAGAATGTATAGAATGCTCGCTAGAGTTCTAAGTCTAAATATGCAAAGACAGTTCAAATGGCTTGTGTTTTTGAGCATGTGTCACATGAGCAATTCAATATTAGATTTGTTATTTTTCTTTGGGTACTTGAGAAAGTTAAATATACCAGATAATAACGTTTAAAAACATTTTTTATTCACCAATTTGATAACTTTGTTAAACTCGCAGAATTTACAGAATGTGTATAAAACAAGCTATTAAAACCATAATGTCATATTGTCTTATTGCATTGAGCAAATCACTGTATTTAAACTACTTATTGAAATATTGACCATAATTTTGACTGAGGAAGTAACACAAGAACATGTAAAACTGAATCAAATTATTGCATATTATTATAGATAACAAGATTTAACAAATGTTGCTCATTATAACAGCAGAAATTATGTTGCAATTCATATATTACCACTGCATCAATTAATTCTCATTATCTGAGTATCCAGTCAAGCAACACATAACAAAATGGTAACATATAAAAACAATTAAAGAATATTACCTTTTTGGGTTGTGCGTTGAAGGTTCTTTGAAGTTGATAGAAATTTAAAACTTCCAAAATGTTTACTTCACCTTTTTCGAAAGACTATGAAACACTGAGTGTTAACATGTGTAACTTCTCCATTAAGTGATTCTCCTCCTTCACAGGAAGTGGTATGTGGTATGTTTTAAATTCTCATATGAACAGAAACAGGTTATAGTGAGCTACATTTGACTTGTGTACATTTTTCAATCTTAAATCCAAAGCACAGACTGCTGCAACTCTGCAGGAACCGATATGGTGTCCCACTTCGTTCTACAACACCGTTTTTCTAAACAGTGAACTCTTTACCGAATTTTTTTTTCTGTTATTAATATTGTACATTTTTTTCCCATCCATCTACATTAGAATATTAACAATTTTGCAACCATTCAGCAAATTATCCTATCCAAGAGCGTGTCATTTTCCTTTAAGTTCTGGACCATATGTTTGGCCACATTTTTCAGCTTGCAGTTCAACACCAGTTGGTGGGTGAAGACTAAACACCTTTGGTTTAACCTGGCCGAAAAAATTATGTTTACAATTTAAGACTCACTTCTGTCATTCTTAAACAATGACCCCACCTCATTGAACTTCAAATCCATTTGGCATCTTTTAGATTGTAATTACTTCCACTCTAGTGAAGTTTTTATTAATGTGCATCTGTAACACAGGTTTTCGTGAAATTATTGTACCTCAGTAACATTACTTCTGTATTAGTTACACTTCTGTATACTGCGGTTGTCTTATTTAGTACCTTAAAAATAACTCATTAGAATGCAAATCCACATCAGTAATAGCTAACAGGATGGTGGAGAAGTCTTTTGATTGAAATTGAACTTATCTGGAAACAATTGAACCTTTATTTGTGCCTGTTTCTGCACTAGCTTTGAAAGCAGTCATGCTTTAAACTATCACCAGAGACATCAGAGGATTGTGAAACACAGCTTTCAATATGTATGTCCCAATAATAAGCATTGATACATACCCTGCTTGTTGCTATTTAAAGGAATACTAATGCATTATTAATACAAACCTGTATTCATATTGCTTTAGTGTCCCTGTCTCTGGGTATATTCAGGTCCCCACTTGTTTGCCAAAAAAATAAACAAAATTAGTATTAAAATGAAAAAGTTTTACTCACCTTTTTCCGGTGCCGTGGCTCCCTCTTGGAATGTGGAATGTCAGGGAGGAGACAGTGTCAGTGTGTCAGTGTGACAGCTACTAGAGGTGGGCTTAACCCAGTAATGTAAGTTTTGCAGTTTCTAAAAAAAAAAAAAAATGCAATTTTTCCCTATTGCTTGGTTAGAAGGACAGGACACTGCATCCAGACCACTTCATTGAGATGAAGCAACCTGGGAGACTTTAGTGGTCCTTTAGTGCCAAGCGGTATTGATATTTCATCAGTCTTATTCAGATAAACATGTTTTATTTTTAATTGACCAAAGAATTGTAAATTTTAGGCCATAATAGACAAGCTTGAAAAGTACATGAGCTTTAGCATTATTATTATTATGATATTTATATAGCGCTTTACAATGGGTGGACGAACAGACATGTAGTTGTAACCAGACAAGTTGGACACACATGAACAGAGGGGTTGAGGGCCCTGCTCAATGAGCTTACATGCTAGAGGGAGTGGTGTAAAGTGACACAAAAAGGTAAGGATATTCCATCTTGGCTATTCTGTACTTAAATTTGAAATAACCAGCAACCTCTGTTTTTTTTTAAATGATCTTCTAGTGGAACGTGATGCAGTTGTTGAAGGGAGTTATATGCTAAGCTACCCGTTTGTAGCAGCAATCATTTGGTATATGTAATTCTGGGCAAATGAGAGGTTCAGATTTGAGAAATTCAGACAATTAATCAACTTTAAATCGAAATTAGGAAACAAAAAGCATTGCATTATTTACACAAGAGTTTAATTATGGCCGAATGGCTTGAATCACATCTGGAATTACTCAGAAATCAATTCAAGATCATCCAACTCAACTAATAAGTCTCAAACTTTAACTGAAATAAACAAATATGTAATCCTGTTCTCTGTGTAAAATAAAAATAGATATGCAAATAAACAAACAAATAAATATACAAATAAAAAAGGATTAATGAAGAACATAATCTGGATCTGGCTCCACCCTTACCCCACCTCTTACCTAATTAGTGGCCCTAGTGAAGGTGCAAGAGAGTAGGTTTGGAGAACAGAGGGCCATCCAGCTTGACAGGGCTGCTGGTGGACCCTCTATCTGCCAGGAAAGAAAGAGATGCAAGTATTCCTATAATTAATATTATTATTAAATGCTGTTAATGTATGCCTACTGGATGTGTGTGGTGGGCATCTTGCAAATAATTGTACAAGGAACATTAGGTATCATTGGGTATAGCCCTTGTCTGGTTTAGCTACCCTTTCCCTCTTGCTCAAATAGATAGAATTTCTGTTTTTATGTTTCTTGCCCTTTGCCCCCATAGAAGGAGAGGAGACAAGTGTTTCAAATAATTAAAGCAAATTCATTTTATTTATTATTATTATTTGTTTATTATCATATAATATCCCTTGCTCAGAGTCTAGTCTTGCGTCATTGTATGTCTTCCACCTGCACGGTTTAGCTCCAAGTTCTTAAACTTTACATAATAACTTGTCAAAATTTCATGATGTCCTCAAATGTTGAGTTATTCCATATCTTAGACATTTGCCAATCTCCTGACATCCTCATGTGTAGTGAGGACAGATCTAAGAGAACACTAATAAACATACAATGGGAAGTGACAGAGTTTTCATTAAAGGGTTACTCCAAAAATTGTGCGGGTGAGGGGAGCCTTACTGTGCACAAGGCTCTATTGTGCACTATATGGAGAAGGGTCCACCTTGACTTGCAGTATAACCTGCAAAAAAAAAAAGTTTACTTACCTGGAATCCACCACCAGGCTATGCTCCTGGCACTGACTTCCACACCCTCTCCGACGTCACTGGGACCATGCATGGCTCAATCACAGGCTTCTTATACAGAAGCCTGTGATTGGTCCGTTTCAGCAGCTCAGAGCGCATGCACATGCTCTAGACTGGTGAGGGGAGGAAGGAACGAGGAGAATTTCTTTTCAAATACTCTCACAGAGGGAGGCAGGAAGTAGCTCACAGTGGGAGTGTCAGGGTCTTGCCTGGGTTGGGAGTCTGTAGCGCAGATATGTTGCTCACCCTTGCAGATAGCCACAGGCCAAGGTGGTCAGGTAAGAATTCACCCGGCCTGTGGGTCTGTGCACGGGGGCTGTGCAGGATGAAGTACCAAGTCGCAGGACAGGCAAGGACTCAAACAGCAGGATCGTCAAAGGATAGCCAAGGTCAAAGGATGCCAGAAGACAGGAACAACGAGGAGTAGCCGAAGTCAAGGGATGCCAGAGGTCAGAGTAAACGTAGTCAGAAGCCGGGGTCAATAACAAGTAGCAGTTCAAACAGGAACACTGGTACAAAGCATACAACAGGATCAAAGACTTGATCCTGATCACAGGGCGAGGCTGAGTTTAAATAACCTGCTAATGTCTGATCAGGTTCAGGTGCAGCACAGCCAAATTCAAGGTACAGCCCCCAGAGTGATAGACAAGCCAGGATGAACAGGACCGGAATGACTTGCAGAATACAAAAGCTGCTGTGGCTCAGAGGTAGGAAGCAGGACCAGGACTGCGAAGTTCCCCGGTTCAAGTCCCTTGTTGGGAACTCCATGGGTGACCACGTCTGTCTGTTTGCTGCGGCGAGAACCGTGACAGTACCCCCCTTCAAGAACACCCTCCGGGTGTGATTTGGTTGCTTATCAGTACCTTCCTCCTCTGAGAGATCAAATACATCATCTGGCAGGAGGTACGTTCTTCCATAGGCATCCATGCCATACGTACGGCCTTCTTCCAGATTAGAGGGAAACACAGCACCTACTGTAGCCTTTGCTCTAGTAGTTCTCACAGGGGAGGTATTTGCAGCTTTCAATGCTTTTTCAAATATTTCTAGATCCTGTTTGCATACAACTGTGCCATTTGAGGCATACGTGCAGTCAGGTGGCAGAACTTCTTTGGCAAGGCAGGAAGTGGTAATGGTGCTTGCTTGAGCAGAAGTGTCATCAGGAAGAGGTCTAGATGTTTCTGGAGCAGGAAGTGGAGATTCCACAGGGGTACTGGTTGCAGGTTCTTGAGGGACACTGGTAACATTGACTGTAGTAGTTTGGGTACCCTTTTGTGTCACAGGACGGGGACACGGCTGGCATGCAGTGTATACAGGGTGGAGGAAAGAAGTACCCAGTCGGAGAGCTGGAGGTCTAGGAGGACGAACAGGGCAAAGTGTGATGAAATGCCCAATTTCTCCACAGTAGTAACATAGGCCATGGTTTCTCCTTCGGTCTCTTTCCTCAGGTGTCACTTTGCAGTGAACAAGTCCTAATTGCATAGGTTCCTCAGGGTCGAGTGGAACACAGGATACCTCAGGAGTTTTCATAGGAACAGGATCATAAGGAGACATCACTGGGGTGTAGTGGTGGTACTGGGTTTCTTGGTTACGAAGAATCTGAGATTTTTTGGTACATGGAGCTGGCTTGGTCACAGTGGTCTTGCATTGTGAGTCCATAGCGGTACTGAAGGATTCCCAGCTGACAAGGACAGGACTCTTTGTCTGCAACATTTGGTGAGCCCATACTTTGATGCATCCAGACAACAGGTTGATAGCCGCTCGGACCTTGATGAAATCTGTGGCATATGTTCGAGGCTTTAAAGAAAACAACACCTCACAATCCATCTTAAAGGACTGAAAGGATGTGCGGCTACCATCAAAACGGTCGGGCATGATCACAAACGGTTCAGGATAAGCTGGTTCCGGGGCTGGACGTACTGCGCCTTTAAGAAATAAAATTTCTTGCTGCAACTCCAAAACAGTCTGGGCCAGGCTGGACACTGGTTGGGACAGGGGTGAGCACATCTCTGCGGACTCCATATTGATCAAGTCTTTTGTCAGGGTCTTACCTGGGTTGGGAGTCTGTAGCGCAGATATGTTGCTCACCCTTGCAGATAGCCACAGGCCAAGGTGGTCAGGTAAGAATTCACCCGGCCTGTGGGTCTGTGCACGGGGGCTGTGCAGGATGAAGTACCAAGTCGCAGGACAGGCAAGGACTCAAACAGCAGGATCGTCAAAGGATAGCCGAGGTCAAAGGATGCCAGAAGACAGGAAAAACGAGGAGTAGCCGAAGTCAAGGGATGCCAGAGGTCAGAGTAAACGTAGTCAGAAGCCGGGGTGATCACAGGGCGAGGCTGAGTTTAAATACCCTGCTAATGTCTGATCAGGTTCAGGTGCAGCACAGCCAAATTCAAGGTACAGCCCCCAGAGTGATAGACAAGCCAGGATGAACAGGACCGGAATGACTTGCAGAATACAAAAGCTGCTGTGGCTCAGAGGTAGGAAGCAGGACCAGGACTGTAAAGTTCCCCGGTTCAAGTCCCTTGTTGGGAACTCCATGGGTGACCACGTCTGGCTGTCTGTTTGCTGCGGCGAGAACCGTGACAGGGGGGAGCAATCTTCCTGTTGGAGGCATTTATTTTTAAATCTGTCTACAGTGTGCACTAATGACATACATTTTGTAATTGACGTTAGGCAGCCTGAACAGAGTTCTGGGCTGCCAATGTCACGTGCTGGGTGTGCAACAAGCTCCTACCACACGATTAACAATAACTCTGGATGTGCCATGCTTTAAGCAGGAACACTGCCCATCCAGACTCCTACCCTCATGACCACTTCTCCAATTCATGGTGGTTGGAGTAACTCTTCAAGTGTTAGCACTTAAAAATTGAGGGAGGTGGAGTATTGCCTTTTGCTATCTGCACAGCGTGAGTCACCTTTTCCCTTTAAATGCAAAATTGGTTTGAACAGAAACTGTTAAAAATCCTGGGTGAATTAGGAAATTTTTGTGTAACTTAAAGGCCACATTATCTATTATTCACAAGCTTAACCACACCTTTATGTCATTTCAGATTACATTTTTGTTGATAATAATAGGGAAATAAAATATTGTTGTAGTTCTTTAGAATTACGGGTTTCAGTGACGTGTTTTCATCTTTATTGAATGCAAGTAAATTACTGATAAAAAGTTATGTTTTTTTACTTTTAGATTTATTTTATCAGATAAATTACTCATGTCACTGATTTGTCTAGTA